TTCCTCTAATTTCAACGTAATTTGAAAGCCTTTGCCCATCGGCATTTATATTTTGAAATAATTTGTGTACTCATTGGGGAATACGTCCTCTGCATTGTTTGACTTAATACTTACATTGCTAGAACTTATTTCAGGAAAAAAAAATATAAATTCATTAATGTAATGCATATGTAAAGTTGGAGGAAAAGTAAAGTTGGAGGAAAAAGTAAAGTTGGTGGCAGTTCATGGAATTTGTTTTAATTAGGTTATATTTATATGCAATGGTAAAATGCTGATTTTTCAGTTAAATATGGTCTGAAAGAGTAAGCTTGCACAGTTTTACTCATTTATTGTGGAAAATTGAGGAAAGTGACCTGTTTTTTTAAGTGCATCTTTCTCACCTGTATCTTTTGCACAAAGGGAGGGTTGTACCTTGCACAGACTTTAGGCTGTGGTGTGATTTCGGTGTTTCAGGATCAGGAAAGGTAGCGCCTATGGATGCTCCAGCTCTGCAGCATGCCCACAGCTTGTTACTGTGTCGCTCATCCAAGAAAATCCTTTTAGATACAGTGGCATTAAGTTGTATCAGCAAAAAAAAAAAAGTTTCTGATGTAGGGATGCACAAATTCAGCCTTGAGGTCCCATGGTTTTTTCTTCTATCAACTACTACAACAGCTTTACCAGCTAAAACATAAACAACTGCAGCTACAAAATGCCAATAAAAGAAGAAAAAACAAAATCAAAACAAGTTTTTGGTGAAAATGAAGCATGTGCATTTCTTTGGATGCTTTTTGTAGGTCAGCACATGCCTGAATTCGCGTTTGAAGTGTTGGTTTCATGGTGGTGGTAGTTTGTGCAATTTGGCTTTTTGTGGTTTTCAGTTTTGGTTGGGGTGGGGGGAGGTTATTTTTTTATTTTTTAATTCCCAGTAGTGCTTTTTTGAGATTCACCATACATGCGAAAATCAGGATGGGTCAGTATTGGTTTTTTCCCTCAGAATTTCAAAGTGCTTTTGCAGACCTCCTCCGAGTGAGATTGTTATAAGCAGACTTATAAATCCCCAAAGAACCTTTTATGACAAAACAATAAAAATATTCCCATATTTTAACACTTGTTTCAAGGAAACAGCGGTAGAGAATCAGTTACCTTAGTAACAGCTAAAGGCACAGAGTGGGAAAATGTTCAAACTTAATAATCAATATTTAAAAATAAAGACAGAAGTGGAACACAGCCAGCTTTCTCAAAGCCATGCTTTGTGTTAAATCTGCTTTTTAAATAAATAAGTGCCAATCTGAGGAAAGAAAGGCATGCTTGAGCATAGCAATTTAATAAAATTAACATCTAAAACCAAAATTTAAAAAACGCTAACAGAAAAGATAACATATATTAGAGATATTTCATACAGCGTCCTCTTCCAGATGGATTTTAATGGATAAACTACATGACCACAGATCAAGATGTTAAATCCCAGTTCCCAGCTGAGAATTTCTAAGAAAATCTCTTTGTTGTACATATAAATTATGATCCTGACACTGCCAGTGAAACACCATTATCCCCTAGACGACCATTAACCACATTTTACACTTGCGATCAGCAACAAAATTGTTGCGAAAGAGGATTCTTCAGCAACCTGTCATTTAGTCTGAATGAGCATCAGTGGTTTAATCAATCTGTTGGGAATTGTACTCAGAATAGTTTACATCAGAGAGAGGTAGAGACCTGAAGAGCCTGAGAAGAAACTGCTGGCCTAAGAGGAATTTGCAGAAATAGCTCGACGTTAAAACTGCCTGACAGGAGGACTAAATTCTGAATTACTTTTTTTTTTTTTTTAAACTGTGATGATTACTATAGTGGGGGGGGGGGAAGGGAGAAGATACAATTCAAAAATTAAATTCAGAGCATTAAATTTGAAACTTTAGTTTGCAAAATAGGAAAAGAGGTAGGTATAATAGATAAAAATCTTGGAGATGAGCAAGTGACAGCAGAGCGTGGGCTTGCTGGGCACAGGCAGCAAAACAGTGGCATGATCCTTCTGGTATGTGAAGGGGAGATGAAGGCACCACTGAATACACACAGTAGATGCAATTGTTCGGTACTATACAAGCAATAAATTTTCTTCTAGAATTAGCTGGATGATGGTTAGGGGAAAGGAGAACTTCTCCCTAGGGAATGGCCTTAAGCCTGTCCTTGGCTGGGAACAGCTCTACTAAACCACACTCCTTTGTAAACAAGGCTTTTACCCACTGGCATAGAACAATATAATTGTTCTCAGCACTTTTTTTTTTCTTTAAAAATGTGCTTTTTGGATAGTAATATACATATATAGTACATACAGGACTATTACAGTTTGTATATACATAGATTATATACATGATGTTTAAATGAAAACACACTCCTCTCCAAAGGTGACTGCAGCATGGTGGGATTTAGGGTATCTTTAAGAAAGTTCATGTTCTGTTTTAATCTGCTGAGCAGACAGGGTACCTGATCATAAATTGGGTGTTTGGATATGATTTATTCCAAATGAAAGCTGAGGGAGCTGGGTCTCTTTAGCCTGGAAAAGAGGAGACTGAGGGGTGACCTAATCAATGTTTATAAATACGTGAAGGGTGAGTGTCAGGAGGATGGAGCCAGGCTCTTCTCTGTGACATCCAGTGACAGGACAAGGGGCAATGGGTTCAAGCTGGAACATAGGAGGTTCCACTTGAATATGAGAAAAAACTTCTTCACGGTGAGGGTGACAGAGCACTGGAACAGGCTGCCCAGAGAGGGTGTGGAGTCTCCTTCTCTGGAGACATTCAAAGCCCGCCTGGATGCGTTCCTGTGTGATCTGATCTAGGTGTCCTGCTCCGGCAGGGGGATTGGACTAGATGATCTTTCGAGGTCCCTTCCAATCTCTAACATTCTGTGATTCTGTGAAAGCAGTCAGATGCAGAGAGATATTTTTTGAAAGCTCTTAATCATCGTGGAATTGCTGAGACTTCAGGAACCGCAACCCCAAAAGCAAGGAAGTTGAGATTGACTTTGACAAAACCATTATGGAATCCACCTTCTCCCTTCCTCAGCAAGGAGAGTGGCTCTGCAGCCACTGAGAATTCAACATATCGTGATAAGCACCGAGAAAAATCAGTGACTGCTTTTGTGAGTGGCTGGCCCTTTTCAGCGCCTCCCTGGGGAAGTCAGAGGGGTGGTTTGTTTTAATTTACAAGTTAGGTAAAAAACATCCTAACATAATTTGAATTGATTGCAATTATTCCTTTAAGGTTGTTGTAGATAGAGTTCACGTTCACTCTTATGGCTTAGATGACTAACATGCTATCCTACAATTTTTTTGTGTTAAAACATTTCGTTGCTTATCCATTCCCTTTAAAAACTTTTTAAAAAAGTATTCTCCAAGCCCTGTATTTGCACAACTGGTCCAATTTCAGATGCCTGTTGAACTGAACAGAATTTTTTCCATGGACTAACACATTGAGCATAAGCAGGACTGGGGATGAGACAGGAGGATTTAAAGTTAACAAGGGATCAGAGAATAACTAATTAAGAATAGCTGTTCGGAACGTTTGCCGTGCTTGCGAAGATAGGATGAGAGGATCAAAGCTGTGCTGATGGGGGAGGAACTGCTAACCCAAACGAGAGGAGAGAATACAACACCTGCAAGGCTGCGGAGATAGGGAGGGCTGCTCGGCCTCTAAACAAGCTGGGAACCGGCCTGGTTCTTTGGACTGAGACCAAGAGACTAGGAGATGAGAAGTTCACCTCCGATGAAGACTCGTTTTACTTCATCCCGTCGACCACCAGACGACCACCAGGGAGCACTATGCAGGCGCAGAAGGACTCTTTGGCAAATTATAATACGAAGCAGGGCTAGGTAATTAATATGAATGAATGGATTACGAAACTTATGCAACATTTTGGGGAATAAATAGAGGGACAGGTTTTGCGAAAAGGCGCGCATGTCTTTGGTGGAGCTATCCCCCGTGTGCCTCAGCGCTGAATAAACTACATACCTACTGTACAACTTTCACAAGTTGTGGAGTCTTTCCACTTCAGGGACCCAATGATTAAACTGGGCTGCCTCACCATGTCTTATCTACTCATGAGACTCTGATACAGGCCGTGTAAGAGGTCTAAAGACCTTGACAGCCACCAGATGGAAGTTTCTGACTTTTAATAGCACAGGGAAAGCCAACAGGAGGTATCAGGATGATGCTCATCTATACGAGAAGCAGGAGGCCTGAGGCAGTCCCTTGTCTTGAGATTATTTCACGAGGACAAAACCTTTACAAGTCACTAATGTCAATTTGGTACAAAGTCCAAACTGCCAATTTATTTGAATTTCCAGATACACTAAATGTAGTGAGGAGGAACAAGTGCATTTCTCAAACGTAGAATTTATCACAAATTCCCCGTCAGAGGAAACAAGCAGCATTCAAGCCCGTTAATATAACCAGCGTGATCAACACGTACTTGCACTTCCTGCAATTTCCTTTCTGAATTCACTGTATTGACAGCTCCCAGCAAGAACAAGAGGCAGAATTGCATGTCCCGTTATTAATGCATACAAACCACCTACCTACTAGACAAATTACATGTTCTTCAAGGCAGCGTAAGTGTCTCAGATTTTGTTTTTAACTGTCATTTCTTCATAGACACCTATGAAGATCAAAGTAAATTGTCTCCCACTCACTGTTGTTTTTTGTTAGTGGCTTTTGGAGATTATTATGGGCTTTGAACTATGTCAGTGTGAAATCAAGCAGTAAAAAATAAATCTACATTTCAAGTATTTTTATTCTGAGCTGCAAATTACAAAAAAAAAAAATCACATACAGATCAGTCTCTTTTTGACTGTACAGTTTAGCATCCATTTATTACTCTGTGTTCTTCCATAAACCTGTTTGGTCCATATTGAAAGAGCTCCTGAAAATCCTTTTGTAATTTTTTTCTTTTCATTTTTTTCTTCTTTCTTCGCTGGAGCTGGAGCTCTCTGGGTAGGAGAGGTGGGCTTAATTATCCTTTCTTCAGACTTTATTGAGAAATTCCAAATTGAGAGAAGCAGGGATATGAATAGTGTCCAGGGTTATGGTGGATGGGTTGAAGTGAAAAAAAACAGGGAACATGTGCTTGGAGTCTAACAGCAGCTGCGGAGGGTCATTGCGCTCTTGCAAGTGCGTCTGTGAGGTGTAGGAGGAGAAAACAAATTCAGTATCACTTATAGCCATTTCTTTGCATTTCCTGCCTTCTCCTTGTGAACATTAAAAGATATTTGGTTTCCATTTATTTATTTTTCCTTTAGCTGCCAATTTCTGCTTGCTACTAAAGAGCGTTGCATTAGGTGAGCTGGGAACTTAAGTGTGTATTTGCTCTTTGTGATTAACAGCCTGGTTATCTCTGCAGCTGTATGTTCCAAGTAAGCGTGTGCATACAGAGAGCTCAATTCAAGACAGCATGCAGCAGCGTGCCTATTACAAAATACTTGAGTTAGTACTTTACATCATTACTATCTCTTCCGTTTTAAAACCTTTAATTTACCTGTATGTCTCGTATGAAAGCTACTGACACACGTTCTTCAAACTCATTCACAGGAGTGTAGAGATTAAGTATCTTTACAATCTGTTAAAAACAAAGCAGTATTACAGACAGTCATGAGAGGCCAAACTTTTCCACCATACAAAGCACCACTAACATTTTGTCTTGATACGGCCATAAAAAGTCTCCCATGGCACTACGGAGAAGCAGAAGTAGCACAAGTGTCACCCTGGTGTTCCTTTGCCTGCTGTAAGGCACATGGTGACACAGGAGATTCAGAATAGGTGACCACTGCCCAGTACTTCCCATGTCACCTCTACAACACTGCTCCTGATGCACCCTCACTCCTGCTCCCCCTACCACCTTTTGGCTTCTCTCAAAAACACATCAGTCCTAAAAAGGACAGTTGTCCCCAGCGTGGGGACAGCATGCCAAGCCTGGGCAGCAAAGAGGCAGCACCAGGAGACCACCCTTTCCCACTCCTTTGATTATTAGTCCCTTCTGGCATAAATCTCTGCCCTTCTCCCTACCTGCTGCGTCGTGAGTGATGTGCACAAGGAGCAGATGGCCTCAGCATCTTCCGAGGTTTTCTTTTTCAGCTGCAGGAGCTGTGCTGCCTGAATCAAGGGCTCCAAAGTTTGTGCCGCTCCGCTCTGCTGCAGATTCTTTCCACGCACCCATTCCTCCAGCTGGCTGATGTTAAACCTGGGTAAGCAGCCAAGACAAGACGTGAGCTGAGAGCCGAGAGATAAGATATAGCATCTCAAAAATCTTCTGTGAGACTCAGTGTACGTTGCAGTGCTGGTATACGTGGCTTTTTTTGATGTACATTTGTGATACATGTGGCAAGAGACAACCAGACCAAAGCTTAATACTCAGCAACTCAAAGCAAAATTTATACTTTATGTATTTTAGAAATAGATGAGCCGTGTGACAGCTGAAGAGCACAAGGGATGTCCTTTTCTACAGCATTCAGATACATTCAGGTTTTAAAAGGCAATTAAAATTAATATTTTAAATGCTAACAAAATACTGCAAGGTACCCATGAACCTTTGAAAATATCGACACAAAAAATGCCTTTGCCTGCACCCACTCCTGGGCTCAAGAGGAACACATGAAGGATTCACCGTGGGAGGCGGAGAAGGCAGCAAAAGGACAGTTTAAATCATTTACAGCAAGAAGCAAGCTGACGGATTTATGCCAGAGCTGATAAATATTAACAACCCCTTTCTGGCAGGTTTGGACTAGCTGTCCTTTCAGATTTCAATCCTTATTAAAACATCACGCTAAGACAGTGATGGGGCACACAGGCCCCTGATCCCAGCCCAGCAGACATCCGTGCTGCCGCTCGCCTGCAGCTCGGTAGAGAACCTCAGAGACTTCTCCATTCCCATGTTCAATCCATCCTCCATCACCTGCTGCAGTCTTTGGGCTGTGCAGCCTTCCCTGCCCAGACTGGGTGGGTCCAGGGTGGGGAAAGCCCACCCCAGAGATAACTATCATAAAATACATTTAATTCACAAGTGGCACAGCAGAACGCAACGTACAGAGATCAGCTTTAACTGCCACTGCATCCCTCTCTTGCTGAATTCCAGTTTCTCCCTTTACTTACACCGCTACATTTTCCTATTTTCCCCCACCTTATAAAATTAACAAAACTTCCTAAAGCAGGTACATCCCCACCCCAAGCCACCGTCCCACCTCAGCTGCATGCCCGTGCTCCAGGAGCAGACATCCTTCCTCAGCAGGAGGTTGTTCAAGGCGACAGAGTTGATCATGTAGAAGAGCTGTTTGAAGACCTGCTGCACGAGCTCCGGGTCCAAGCCCTGGTCACTCATGATGCTGTGGAAGGTGTTCAGCTGGCGAATGATGTCATCTAAACTGTAGGAGCTGTCACCATCTCCCGTGCTGGAGGAGCGATTCCTGTAGCCCAGTGGTTTGACACCAGAAAGCCCTTGGATGCTCTCATTTTCCAACACTGCGGACACTGAAAAAAGGGGAAAAAAAGAGGGAAAAAGTCTGCAACCACTTATGAGTCACTGGAGGTAAGAAATGTTCCTTCATGGGCCATCATAAACATGCAGCAGTGTCAGCGTGATGCAACACGATGGATGCTGAGCAGTCTGAAAGAAGGACACATCCACGAATTGCTAATTTATTGTGACCATATGAAATAGTTGAAGCATAGAGAATATCTCCAAGATCACACTTTTTTTCCACTTGGTGTTACTACCCAGACATCACCTACCATGCTGCAGGAACTGGGAACACCTCTCCTTCGAGCTGTAATCAATTCTCCCTCTGTACCAACCACAGAGCCCTAAATTCTGCAGTTAAAGTGATTGATTCAAAAAATTGAGAGAAATGAAGATAAGATTAAAAGTGATAAATATTTTAACAGCCTGACTAACTGACGGAGGAACAAGACAACTTTCTGCAAGGAGGAAGAGGAGAATGCAGTGATGGCACGAGGTGATGCCATCAGATACAGCCAGAATTTGTGCAATGACATTTGGAGGGT